ATCAATCAATGAGTATACAGAAGATATTGGTGCGATATTTAAATAACAGGAAAGCTTTATTAAAATGTAAGCTTCGAACGTCTAAGAAAAACGTCGATAAAAGAAGAATATTCCATGAATCGTTACGAAGCTTATTTGGCATCGGAAAGCATTATATGGAAGAAAATCAAAGCAATATTTACTTAAAAAAGAAACTGAGACTAACCCTACAAGCATTGAAACTATTTCGTGTAGTGGCTTTTAGGAAGAAGGATTGAGCCATAGACCGGATCACATTTACAGTGCAACTGACATAACTGATTCATCGTCACAGAATTATTGCCAGAGTCACCCCTAAATCAAGTCCAATTGAGCTCAAATTTTGCATAGGTTTGTTTTTCGAGGGAATAAACATTTTGTAGGAGGTATCTTTTTGAAATGTGAGATGACCATTTTCATTGTCACCTCAATTTTCATGGGTGGGGAAAAATTATCCACCTATTTTTTCACCGTGTACAAACGCATTTGGCAGATGTTAAATTCAGCACAAATGTGCCAATTTTGGGCCTTGGTTCATTGTGAGCAAACGTGTAATGTTTCTTTCTTTCTTTATTAAAGAGACTTTCAGCCATCGGCTGGTTCAATTCATGCAAAGTTCCGTTCGAATTCGTTGGCGTATAGTGCCCCAATAAAGCGAAGACCATTACGTAATGCAGTAATCAAACTTTATAAGCAAGAAAACCGTCCAGTATGTATCGCTAGGATATTGAAAATGACGAAATGTTCGAGATATTAATGATATCCTTTGTTAAATTGTGCCCCTTCGGAATTAAAAGGAAATTAAGCAACACACTCAAAGCTCTCCATAAAGGGATTCCGTGAAGAGGTTCGACAAAATTAACAGATTGATCATGGCTTGCAAGCTTTCAGAACCTTATAGGTACATATCACTAAAGAAATCCATCGTAGGTTTAAGGAAAGACATAGCGTTTCTTAAGAAATGCCGAAAATTAAATCTAACACCTGTAAGCCAACGGCTGAAAGTCTCCTTAATAAAGAAATAAAAAAAAAAAAAAAAAAATCTTACACCTATCATAAGATTAGGGTTAAGACATCCACTCCCTTAAAAGAAGTTCGTAAGATGGAGTCAGAATTTATAAAAGCGAGCATCCAGAGTCTCTACTCAAAGTTGGACACAAAGTCGTTGGAATGTTATTCCCTGGATTTAAAATTGGACAAAGAATTCACAATTGAATTTCCACTGATTTTGACTAAAGTTAAAGTATTGGAGGACTGCGAGGAAAAAAAGGAAAAGAAAGTTACATAACAACAAACTGAGGTCACTACAAAACTATTTGAATTACACAACGCAGCAGAGAGACCGGAAATTACACAGTTCAGCTAACACAGCTGTGGTTCAATCCGTCGAAGGTTTTGTGGTAAATCGCTCGACGCAGCAGTTCTCAAAAGAACAATTGACACTTCTCAACAAGGGATTAGGATATGCGATCCCCTCAAAACCTGACTTGGAAGAGGCCATTGTTGACATGGAGACTGCAATCACTCACACACTTCCTTTTCGATTACACGAGACTTCCAGGAATATTATTTCAGAGACAATACAAAACGGAAAGGAACATTCACTTAATAAAACCGAAAAAGAGGAAATTCGAATTCTTAAAGAACTAAAAACAAAGCTGGTATTCTATAAAAAAAAAGCGGACAAAGGTAATGCAGTAGTGATTCTGGACAAAGAGGACTATGACAATCGGATGAAGGAAAAAATACTAATGGCCCATACAGACAGTTGAGGATTGACCCCCTCCCATCTATGGCTAAACATGTGGATAAAACGTTGAAAGAGTGCAAGGCGTTTATTGGCAACACTACGAATCAATTGAAAGTTTCAAACCCTATTCTACCTAGGATCAAAAGTTTAGCAAAGATTCACAATCCAGGAAACGAAATGAGGGAGATAATCTCGGCTGAAGGATCCCCCACTCATAAGCTTGCCAAATGGCTAGTAAAAGAATTTCAAAATATGCCTAAGCCGGTTACCACTCGATCAGTTAACAGCACACAGGAATTCGCAAATCAATTTTCAGGAATCAGGAGAGATTCGGGAAGATGAAGTCATGGTTTCATTTGATGTCACAGCACTTTTTCCGAGTGTACCAGTAAAGGAATCCATCAGCCTTTTAGAGGACTGGCTTCTGAAGCAACGTGAGGATTCTACTTGGAAAAAACAAAGTTCTGTCATATCTCAAGCTTACTCGTCTTTGTATGGAGGAAAATTATTTCATTTTCAGATGAAATTTTTATAAACAAACTAAAAGGATTACTTTTTCTATTTTTATGTGAATTGTTCATGGCTAACCTAGAAAATACTCTGAAGGATAGGAATTTGTTGCCCAAGTGTTGGTATAGGTACGTGGATGACATTTTTTAGCATTGTCAAAATGAAAGATTTATCAAAAAATTTGGAGACCATACGCAACGTTCACAAGGACATCAAATTTACTCACGAAGAAGAGAGAGACGGCAAACTCCCCTTCTTAGATCTTCTCATCATCAGGGAAACGTCTTCGTTCAATTTAGAAATTTATAGGAAACCAACAAATACAAAGAGAGTAATAGCAACCGGTGGAAACTAACGATTTTAAATTGGCTCACTACTTGATTCACTATTGCATTGGTCCCAAGCAAATCATACATAACATTAACATACTCCATTCTAGTCGAAATTCTAGTACTACACTATGTTTGTTTTGATTCGCTATGAAAGTTTGACAGATAGAATAAGGGGTTCGTGGATTTTCCAATGTTTCGAGGGGTGCATTGATTAGCTTGGGACCGAAGATAGTACCAGAGCTGAGCCAAAAAGTTGAGCATGTTTCATCGGGACCAGCTGGTCTTAGAGTTACCTCTATGGTAATACCAACAATCAATACGAAACTAACGATTTTAAATTGGCTCACCACTTTAGTAGCCTATTGGTCCCAAGCAAACGATTAACGTACCCTATTCTAGTTGAAATTCTATTACTACACTATGTTTGTTTTGATTCGCTATGAAAGTTTGACAGATAATATCAGGGGTGTGTGGATTCATGCAGAACATGCAGGGGTGAGTGAAATAGCTTGGGACTGCTTGGGACCGTTGTTCTGGTACTGAGTGAGCCAAAAATAATAATGATTTTCTTCGGGACCCAGTGGTCTTAGAGTTACCTCTATGGTAATACCAAGCACTTCTAACCATTCCCATCAACACAAAATGGCCGCTTTTCTCCACATGGTTCACAGGATGCATGCAACTCTTCCTCTTAGCGATACAGGCAAATCAAAGGAATAGCTCACATTTTTCAAATCGCTAGACTTAATGGGTATCAAGAAAAAAAAAATAATTCAAGCAGTAATCGATAAAAGAACAAGGGAATACGGCGCATTTCGACAACTCTTACACCAGTAACTGAGGGTTTAAAACGGATAGCGGTAAATTTCGACAAACACATTACCAAACCATTGATTTCGAAGCCTATAAGATTTGACCTAGATTTAGTATTCAGCATCAGGACAAATCAGCTGAAGTCACTGTTAGGATCAGGCATGGAAAATCATTTGCATTCATTTCGTGCATTCATTTACATTCATTTGCCCCTAACTTTTTTCATCAACAGAATTTCGCAAAATGATGTATGGAGTTTTTGTAGGTTTTGTTATTAGCTATAATTTTTTCCCAAAACTCAAATCCGTATCTGTTATATCCATAACCAAGGCCAACAGGTAAAACAAGCTGTTGTAAAGAGCTACTATTTATTACGTCTATCTTGGGTGGTGGTCGGATAAAGAATCAATCTCTAACTTATGACAGTCAGGCAAAGCCTACTACATCTCCCCCTTTTAGAAAATGTCATAGGAAGAGAGCCATCTTGGAATTCTTGATTCTCGTACAGAACGTCGAATAAAGTCTCCAACTGCTTCAGATGGCACGGGCTTTTGTACGGACTGAAGTTCTCCATCTTGAGCAGCAGGTTCATGATCGATTGTCGAAAAAGGTTTTTCGCCAGACGTACTTGCCACTTGACCATCAGCTTCGAGTGATACGGAACCAACAGGAATAGGTCGTGATTGAATGGCACTTCTGGATCCAACGGTACAGCTTCATCTTGAATTTCATCAAGCAGGATTTCCCATGGTAGTTGCTGCGTCGCTTGCTCTGGATCATCAGAAGTGTGACGAGGGCGCATTTGGTTTACATGCGACCTCACCAGCTTCGGTCTCCCGTTCATGTCCAGTGCAACGATATAGTTGACGGAACCTTTCCGTTCGATGACTCGACAAGGAATCCAGGACTTGGCGTTTCTGCGATGCTGTTCAACGTAGACCAGCTCATCTTCTTCAAACTCGCGCTTGACTGCTCCATGCCGCCAATTGAACTGTTCGTTTTGTTTGTGGTTCTTGACAGCTTCAGTTACAGGAACAGGTTTCTTCAGTAGGTCCAAAGTGGGTCGCACTGGTCTTCCGAGGAATGCTTCTGCTGGAGACGTCGACTGCGGTGTGTTTCGGTTTGGGATTGAACGATACACCGAAAGGAATGTCTGCAGGTGCTCCAGTGTGGGTGATCCTTCCCCCTTGGCTAGCTTCTTGAGGCCACGCTTGAGTGAATCAACGAATCGCTCCGCTTGGCCGTTGGACTGCGGATGGTAGGGAGCAGTGCGGAGATGGGTGATACCATTTGCACGGCAATACTGTTGAAACTGCTCGCTGGTGAATTGCGTTCCGTTGTCTGAGACCAATGTGTCTGGGTTGCCGTAACGAGAAAACGTTTCACGCAGCATATTCAGGGTTGCAGTTGTGGTAATGTATTGAGTGCGAAAATTTTCGGGCCACTTAGAGAAAGCATCGACACTTTGATGGGACGACGATTCGCAGTTGTCGACAACTTGAAGTCCATCTCGTCTGGCGAAGAACTTCTTGACATCAGGATCAGCAACTTGCTTCGCATTTGCTGGCCAACCTTCGTTAAGAAAATTCCATACCATATCCAATACCATAGTAGTTGACAGCACCGAGGTAGAAACGGAGTTGCTGGACATCCTTCGGAGACTGCATCTTGGAAATAGCTTCTGTTTTTGAAGGGTCAGGCCGAATACCGTCCTTATCCACGATGTGTCTGAGAAACTTGATCTGGGAGAGTGCGAAACGACATTTTTCGAGGCGTAGGTGAAAGCCATACTCACGGATCTGCTCGAGAACAGCGTAGAGACTGCGATCGTGTTCCTGCTTGGTGCGACCAGCGATGAGGATGTCGTCCAAATACGGCTTGACTCCAGGGATGCCGGGCACCATGCTGTCGATGATGCACTGGAAAGCGCCGGGTGCCGACTTGACTCCGGGGGGTAGTCGGTTATACTGGAACAGTCCACGATGCGTGTTGACCGTGAGTAGCTTTCGCGATTCCTCCTCGACCTCGACCTGTAGATAAGCGTCAGACAAATCGAGATGAGTGAAGTAACGTGCTCCAGCTAGTTCCACAAAGAGGTCGTCAGGATGAGGCAGTGGATGATGGTCACATTCTAGCGCGTTGTTCAGCCCCGTCTAATAATCGCCACATACACGGACTGATACATTGTCCGACTTGCGTACGACGACTATTGGTGCTGCCCAGTCCAAGAATTGAACTGGAGAAATTATACCGTTTTGCTGGAGCCTCTCAAGTTCTGCGTCCAGTGCAGCGTACGCTACTGGTCGTTTCGGGCAATATGCAGGACGTGCGTCAAGCTTGAGGTACAACTTCACTTGCGCTTTTGTGCATCTACCCAGCGTGCTTCGAAAAACTTCCGGAAACTGTTGCTTGAGTTGATTGGTGAACTGATCAGAACGTTGGTGTACGACGTTGACCAAGCTGCTTATCGGCACAGACCACAAATCGAACAGATCCATAGTCTCGATTCCTAGAACGTTGAGTTCAGCGCTGCTTGAGATGAAAATGCGACCATTCTTGGTAACATTCTTGATGGTGGTCTCGGTCTGGAACTCAGTGAGAAGGTTGAGATTGCCACCAGAAGCTGTAACTGCAGATTCTTCCGTCGGTTGAGTGGGTGGCTGTCCGATGCTGATCCATGTTTCTTCTGAGATTATGGTGATGTCGGACGCGGAGTCGTGTTGAAGTTTGACTGCTACACCATTGAGCTCGACCGGGATGAACTTCCGCTTGCTTCCGATGTTGCGAACCGTGTAGAAGCTTTTTGTCTTCACGTTCTCTTTGGATTTGGCCTGTTTGAACGGTTTCGACGGCGCATTCTTGTTGCTGTTGCAATAACCTTCCTTGTGTCCTTGTTGCTTGCATCTGGAACAGGTGTGCGAAGCGAACGGACACTCACGAACATAGTGCTGGTCGCCACACTTCCAACATGGCGTTTTCGGCACTTTTTGGTTCTTTTTGAGGCAGGATTATTCTGGTTGCGAGAAACAATGTTGACGTGGCGTGCTTCTTTGTTCTCCACCATCAATGTGTCCTGCTTGAGATTGGCCACGCGATGGCATTCTTCCACGAGGTTCTCCAGGGTTACCTTGCTGGTGGCTTCTCCCAATTCGTTGACTGCGGTTTCGTCGGCTTCCAATTTCGAGATCAACCTAGCTCGTATGTCCGCATCCCGTGGCGATTGGAGTCCACAGACGAAATGGAGAGCTTTGAATTGGTCCGGTGTGAGCTTGGACAGCTGAAACGCTTCACAGTGTTTGTTCACCATGGCAGCATACGATGTGAAGTCATCCGCGTCACTTTTTGCATTCTGGAGGCACTGGTAACGGGAATGAAAAACCGACTTCTGTCGACCGAACAGTTTCTTCAGTTTCGTGACGGTTTCGTCCAGGGTGAAGTCCCGGGGATACTTGGGAAGAATGGTGTTGACGTACTTCTCGTGCAGAGGCGTGCTTAACTTGCGAAGAAGCAATCTCACACGAGCGGCGTCATCCAGGGATTGGCCGTCCTTTGTAAAGACATCCTCATACCTCGCATACCAGCCATCGAAGAGAACTCCTCCGTCCGGATCGTACTGGAAATCCTGGATCCCGCTTGCCAAGGACTCAATAATCTTCTCACTGCCAGCAGTCGGATTTCCCCGATTTTCCAGGTTTTCAATCTGCTGCTGCTGCCTCGTGATGAGATTCGTTAGCTGCAGGATGGCGTTCCGAAGATACTCGTCAGACATTTTCTTGCTTCGAGGTTCGAGGTGCTTCCAAAATTTTCCTCGTCGCCAATTGTTATATCCGTAACCAAGGCCAACAAGTAAAACAAGCTGTTGTTAAGAGCTAGACGAAATACGCGTATCTGTCAAAAGATTAGAAGTTATAACGGAATTAAAAGGAAATAAACCAACCCACTCAAAGCTCTTCATAAAGGGAGTTTGTTAAGAGGTTCGACAAATTTAAAAGATGAATCGTTTGAAACCCAGTCTGAACAAGGTCTTTGATACTATATCTGTAGAGGAACGAACGTCCATCGTTGATCAACCTACCAAAACTGGATGAAGCAAAAAGAGGACATTTCGAGACATCCATGTAAATTTACAAAGCACATTAGTGTATCCACTTTTCCCAAAATATGTTGGGATTTCATATATTAGTAATTAAACAGTAACAGTTCAGCTTCGAACCTGTTCGGATACGGTTGTGTATAAGTTTATTTCTGTTTTGTGCGTGCGTTCGCTGATTTTGCCAGATTAGCGCTGGCACTCTGCCTCCCGGACGGTTATACGTGTGTGATTGGTGGTTTTCTCGCTTTCCGAGAAGTTTTGGAATCGAAAAAGAAAACGTGATGCATCATGTTTGCAGGCATCAGAAGAAGTGTCGCTATCTGCGTTGTTTGTTTTTTTCTTCGCTTGTGCTCCCGGTACTGAAATTTGTGGCGTCGCGTGTGATAGTTTTTGATTTCAGTTTGTTTACGCGTTGTATGATTTTGTGAGCGGTCGCTTCGTGTTCGCGTCATGGAGCAATCGATTACATTCGACCAGAGGATTGATCCCCGTAGGGCGGGTCTATGATCGGAGCTACTAAACCAAGCGTGACATAGCTGCTTGCAAGGGATTCAGTTGGACTGATTTGGTGAGATTGTTCCATTTTTCTACTTTTGTCTATTTAAACTTAATTTCTATGAATGCGTATCGTTTGGAATCATTTGATTTGAGACTCTTAACTTTTATTTGTTTACATTGTGTTTCAATTGGTATTCTTAAGAACTTCATAAAATAAGGTTTCAATATTTAAATTGAGCAGATCGACTAGCCTGGTGGCTGCCGCTTTTGCTTACTGAGTAGAAGACCGTCGGGGATCCACATTGTAAAGATTCCCTATTTTCAGCTTTTTTACAGGCTGGAGTTGTTGTTTGAACCATTTAGTTTATCAATTTAATTTATCTGTATAACAATTATTCACAAGCATTCTTCCAGGTCAATTCAAGAATAGTTTGATGATGATAAATCTTCCTAATATTCACATTACAGTTATGACCCGATCCTGTCAATCTCTCCGCGCATCAGACTGTTATTTTTCAATAATTCCACATAATTGTAATTTCATACCTTCCTCCTTCAAGATGAATGTTTAAGATACACATACTTTGCTAGCTGACAAAATGGGGTCATTGCTGTATAATTATTCTCTTTTTGCAGCCTTCATTCAGACTGGATCTATTGATTTAAATTATTTGAGTTTTCTTCCAGCTCTTTGATGCCGGAACATCACTAGATTTATACTGTAATGATTCACTCTCGATCAATTTTGCTCATGCTCATGCTCTAAGTTCATTTTCAGCATTTCGATGATGGAACGTCTTCAGATTTATATTATAATGGGGCTTATTACGGATGTCACATCACCGTGAAAAGTTGTCACTTGTCGTCACGGTGAAGTGATTCCCATTTGATTTGTACGGTAATCACGGCTCTTATTCTGAGTATCACTTTCTTATCACCGTGTAGTGACACCCGTAATAAGGCCCAATGATACACCATTTGGTTTTGGCTTCGGGCAAATCCAAGTATAATGCATGATAACACTGATTCATTTAAAACCATGGTCGCATCACTTATCAAGGTGAATCCTGATCCAACGAACCCAACTTACTAACAAAATCTCCTTTTCTGTGTCTTTTGTTGGAAATTTCAGGGTTACATCTTCCTTATTGGGAGCTGAGGAGACATAGAGCTGCATCATATTGTATGTAAAATAATTATTATTTTCATTGCGGAATACCAGTTTTTTTATCCATATAAATGTATTTTCATTAAATATTACGTATTTTAATGTTCTGATATATTTCATTTCTCCATTACATATGTTTACTATATATATAAATAAATACTGGGTTGGGAGGGAGCATCAGGGTATCATTTGACCTGAAACTGGACGATTGGAGTGGTATGACAACCGGAGTCTAGGAGGGAATAAACACTATCATTTTCTTTATCCTACCGATTCGATTGTGATGGTGTGAATTCTACTCCAACAGTTTCAGTGAGATTGACGCGCCCTTCTTAACAAACCATCCTGTAGGAAGCTTAATAAGTATTGCGAATTGCGTTATTCGATTTGTTGGATCGTATCGTTGGAAGGAGATTCTTAAATTCCCGTGGATTTCGCGTAAGTGTCTCTGCTTACGGGTCCACCCCACCGTTTTTGGCCCTTCATACAGCGATATTGTGAATTCAGATCGGTAGCTCAAATTGATCTTGCTATTAAGTGGAGCTGCATACAAGACAAGATCTTCGAAGGGATGGTGGCTACCTTACATACATACATACATACATTTCATATATTAGTAATTAAACTAATAAAATTACGAACAGAAACATTGATGGTGGATAATTTTCTGTATGATTTAAACCATTTACCATTGTACCATTTAAAAACCATTTAATTGTCAGTGAACTTAAAATTTACTTGTGATTTTACATGTCAATGAAAAATTCCGTGCAATAATTGCAATAGTCTATTTTTTACAGTAAATATTAAAAAAAACATGTTATCCCAGTTATGTGTTAACCAATCTTAACGAATTTTTTAGGACTTATGAAATAATCAAAATATCATCATTCTTCAAAACCATATGTAATTTTAATATAAAACTCCTGAGATGTTGGCGAATGTGTAATAATGGATGACCCTCACTGAACAATATTGTTGTCTACTGATGAATATAATAACTAAATTACATAGTTGAAGATGCTAATTTCAAATAACAGACTGTAGTGGTAATTTTTATACGATAGATGGAGTAGATGAAAGCATAGAGTTGATAGTTCCGTTAGAGTACGGCAGTGTGAAGATTGTATATAGATATTAGAATAGCGAACTAGGACAACTTTTAAGGAAGGTACAAATCGGTTTTTCATCTCTCTTTACCAAACTCCCCCTTTGGAGAGGGATGGTGAGGGGTGTCCCCCCCCTCCCCCCCGCCACCACTGGCAAAAAGAGATGAAAACCGACCCGTTCAAGTACCAACTGTGTGTTTGAAACAGTTCTACCGATTTTTACCGCACTTCCATTGGGTTCTTTAAAGGTATTGAGGTAAATGCATATTCGTAATCTGCATTAAAAATGGAACCCAAACCCAAAATTTCATCAATTTTGGTACACTGGAACTATTTTAAATAAGAACGATTACATTTGCAAAAATCACCTTATTAGCACCCCTCAGCGTCACTTTGAATGGGAGCGAGCTGTCAGTTTGTCAGTTTAGTGTCGAACAGTGAAATTATTATTTTGCTTTAAATCTTGATTTAAAAATCGAGATGAAAGTGTGTGGGTTCGAAAAAAATATTGCTGTGCTCAGAAAACGAAGCTCTTTCAGATGATATATAAAAACCGATATATTTTTCAAAATTAAACAACCCAATTGTTATTTGAAGGAAGGCATCCAGTCTTAGGTTTGGAAATTGCAACTAAATTACACAAGAATTGCTTAACACAAGAATTGCTTAGCAAAAGTTTAAATTTAAAAAATTACAGTAATTAAATCTTTTCAAATATTTCTATAACAATAAAAAATACCGAGGGGGGCGACACATCTAAATTTCAAGTTTAGATGCTCAACAAATCTCACACTAGCGAATCAATCTTCGAAAAATCTTCTTTCATTTGTCGCATCTACTTGCATCGCTCATCATCTTTTTGCAGGAAATCTTCAGAATCGTCATCAATCTTCTTTCTATCTACTCAGCGTGCGCGCAGCTAGCCACAGCAAAACACAATCTTTTTTGCATCGTAGATAGAGTCGTCCCCCTCGAAAAATACTGACAATTGTTTGGCATTCAGGCATTTATGGTTGTTCAATATTACCTAATCTTAATGATTTTAGCTGGTTATTTTGACACGCACTGTATTAACATAGATGTAACTTTAAGTGAACGAGCGAATTTCAGTTTATATTTATATTTTAATTCGTTTATTTTAAAACCTGCACATATTTGGACTCAAGTCAGGATGCCCCTAATCACTTCTGTACGCATTATTGAAAGCATCAAAACAGTTTACAACGAAAATCAAAATAGGATCTGAAGATAACAAAACCATTCTCGGAAAAATGAACGGATTTCCACTAGTAAATTTTAGACAAAAACTCTGCATCTAAATATATGTCAACAAATCCATACGAAGCTGAACGAACTTATTCCAGTATCGAAACCAAAAACACTCCCATTGTCGAACACGATCATCACCCATCATCATCGATCATCGTGCACTAGCGTCA